GTAAGCATCTGCTTTGCCTGTGACGTAATTTACACCTGGGTGGCTGGTTTTCATTTTCATCCAGAAATCACTGCTTCCACCACATTCAGGCCCAGTAATGTCCATTCCCTGAGCCCCCGGGACACACAGTGTCTACCACATGGCGACAAAGGCTGACTGGCTTTGGGACACCCATCACATTCACGCAGCCTGCACTGTCCCAGGCCAAGGGGCATGGGGGGAAGGTGCCAGTGTCAGGAGGACGCTGGTGGAGGCGAGGAGGGTGCTGGTGGAGGGAGGGGGGCTCTGGTGGGGGCAGGAGGGTGCTGGTGTGCCAGGGGGCACAGCCTGGCAGGAAGCCCGGCTGCGTGGGGACATTCCTGGGTGAAGAGGACCTGGGTTGGGGACCCTCAGGGCAGAGAGAGGGAAATGGACAGCCACACCCACAGTATGAGCGAGGCCTGAGTCTGCGTCCAGGCGAGATCGGAGGTTTCTTCCTCACCCACTGCCACTCTTCTCCCTTTTGGGGAACAATCAGCTAGGCTAACAGACCAGAGCTGGGAGTGGGGCGAGGGCCTGGGCCGAGCTGCCTCTGGTCATCGTGCCGGAATGCATCTTGTGTCTTACGAAACATCACACGGAGTCCTTTGCTAAGCTATACAGAAGCCACAGGAGGAACAGCCACACCTCGAGGAGGGGCAGCTCCCAGTTCCAGGTTACTCAGAAAAGAAAAGGAGAAACAGCGCAGCAGCTCAGGACCTCAAACCCACACTGCCTGCAGCAAGGGTCTCCGCAAGCCCCAGCTCAGCTCCGGAACGGGGCTCTCAGGGCCAACACTGTATGTGCGTATTAACAAAACGAGGCCCAGACAGGGATGCGGACTTCTGCGGACACAGTTCACTGGCTACCACGTCATCACCTGCCACACGGCATGCGGCCCTGACGGGACCTCTGAACGTCGCTTCATCACCTTCCTGAGTTCAGGGAAGGGAGGCTCTGCCGGTGGGCCAGCCGGCGCTTCCCGGGAAAGGGCGTCACACACACCTGCTGCCACGTGACACAGAAGACACTCTTTGGACACATTGTGCTTTTCTGCCGGGCCTTTTGGTTGGTAAGGGTGTGGCCAGTGTGCTGGTGTTCAGGACACAAGGTGCTGTGAACAGGGACAGCAAGTGGGGCTGGGTCTGCACCAGGAACAGAGCAAGGAGCTGCCTGACCCACGCTAAGGAGAGAAGCCAACACGGGGGCAGGTCTGGGAGGAAGACTGGGGAGCGCCCAGGCAGGGGACAGAGAAGCTCCCTGTGTGCACAGAGACCCCGAGCGTCCTGGAGAGAAGGCCGGGGGAGGCTGTGCCTGTTTCCACCAAGTCCAGGGGTGGCGTTCACAGCCCGTAATACATGAAGGCAAAGCAGCGATGTCTAAGCCTTCTATGGTTCTGAAACTGCTGCTGGAATGAGATTTTCTCCCTGTCCTCTCTCCAAACACAGGCGACTCCCATACACTGTGTGTTTAGCACTTCAGAAGAATTAGTCCTTCCTCTGTCCAACAACCTACAGGCATCAGGATGCCAAAGCGTTCAGTGCGTCTGGATGGTGCAGCCCTGTGGACACCAGACAAAGGACCCCAGGATGCTCTCGAGGCTCGAGGAAGGTAACACAGCAGGGCCAGGGGGGGCTCGTGGACTGGACGGGGCACCCAGAGAGAGGACAGAAGGGGCAAGAGAGGATGCAGGGGGCAAGAGGAGGAAAGGGCTGTCAGGCGCACGCCTTCCCCTGGCATCCCGTCTCCCCCTCCCCACGGTCTGAAGGCAGCACTTGGTGGCAGCTGCCCCTTCCCCCTCTCCGCTACCTGCGGGAGCTGCAGAGCAGACAACAAACCTCGGCTCTGCCCATATGGACGGCTGCGCCAATGAGCCCAGTGAAGTGCGAGCCTGCCCTCCTGAGAGGGTCCCCAGGGTCCCAGCGGCCACTCCAGGAAACCCACCTGGACGGCTGCACCCCACACCCTGGACAGCCTCGGTACGTCAGGGCAGGGGCCGGAGCCGCACAGCCCTGCTCCGGAACAGGGACGCTCTGTGAAGAAGCCTCTGCTGTGCTCAGCAAACCGCAGGGCTCAACACCGGGGACCCGGCCTCGCCGCCCGCCACCGAAGCCAGGGACTGATACGCTCGCTCAGCCACACTCGGGCAGCAGAGATCCGGGGCAGGCCCGGGAGGGCCACGCAGGCTTCCGGGGGGACTGCCCTGTCTGTTTCCTGACTGGGTGCTGGTCACACGGGTGTGTTCAGTCTGTGGGGCCTCACTAAGTGGAACACGTACGAGGTGCGCTTCGCCCCATTTGTTACACGTCAACTGAAAACACGCCCAGCCCCTGAACCCCGACGGGCTCCTGAGTCTCTGGCCGCCGCCTGGCGCTGGACCGGGTGGCCGGGGTACTCACCTGCGGCAGCCCGTCCTCCCGCCTCCGGCTCTGGCTTGGGCGGTTGATGAAGGACCGCGTGGAGACTTTGTAGTGGTTCAGCAGGCAGACGATGACCACCACCATCACCGTGACCACCACGACGATGATGATGATTTGGGCGAACTCCAGCTCCGCTGCCACAGAAGAGGACAGTGGTTAGCCGCCTGGCCCTCGGACCCCAGCCCCTTCTCCAGGCACCGCCACCGCCCCAGCCTCTCACACACGTCTGGTCCTCAGGCCCGCAGGACACAGGACCACTGTCCCACCTGAGGGAAGGAGACGCCGTGGCACAGCTGGGAGGCTGCGCAAACCTGCCGTGGGGATCGGGAAGCCTCCCCAGACTGGTTATTTCTCCAACGTCACTGCTCCAGGAAAGTTAGACCCGTCTTTATTGTTGAGTGAAGTTTCTCAAGGCAGTTCCCCTAGGGAGCCGCACTTGAAAGGAAAAATCGACGTTGTCCCTTCCCTCCAAGGCTGTGGCTGTGCAGGTGAGTCAGGAGGCCTGCAGGCACCGCGCTTCAGGAGTGGCCAGGTCCACCCTGGGTTTCCCACACCACCGCCCCAAAGATTCCCTAAATGCTACTGACACGCACTTCACATGTGAGTCCAGCAACACAGTGACTTCCAGTCACAACACTGGGCCGGCAGCTGGAAGCAGGTGAGCCGGATCCCTGTTCTGGGAGAGGAAGCAGGTCGAGGGCTCACGGGCGGCCTGGAGCCACGTTCGGACCTCACTCTCCCAGCCCACGGCTCTGCCGCCTGCTTCACCCCTCGTCCCCCATGCTGGAAGGAAGTGACTGTCCGTGCAGTGACGTAAATTCAGAACAAGGGGCTCGGGGATGCTATGAGGAACACAGTGCAGGAATCGGGGGCTGGTGTGGTGGACAAAAGGCAGGAGGAAGAGAAGAGGACGCCATCAGCTGTGCTGCCCTGGGCTCACAGCACACACGCACACACACGCATGCACACACACGTGCTGCAGCAGGGCTCAGGCCCCGGCCGGCGGGGAGGCGTATCTGTCAGCGTATCCGCTCATACGCGCATCTGCTGGTCACACCCTGGGAACCGAGGGTGAGGCTGGATGAGGGGTTCTCTGGATGCCCTCCGCTGCCACCCTCAGACCCCCACACCCTAGGGACTGAGGGTGGGAGCGGAGGGCAGTGGGGGACTGAGGGTGGGAGCGGAGGGCAGTGGGGCCCTGGGGCCGACAGGAGAGGGGCTGGCGCCTTGAGAATGGAGAGCGGAGTGTGTGGGAGGCTGCTGGCTGAGCTGTGCACAGAGAGCAGACGGACCTGCCAAGTGCCCCTCCCCGCAGGCAGGGAGAGGCCAGGCTGGCGGGAACATCCCCCTTCCCTGCGGACACGGACAAGGCCATGCTCTGAGCAGCTCCTGGGGCTGGCAGTCAGTGAGGCCTGCGGGCCCCGCCCCGGCCAAGGGGGTGCTGTTGCTCTGGGGCTCCCTGTGGCCTGTCGGCTAAGTGGTGGGGGCTCTAGGGGTCTGGTGCCCAGCCCAGCCTTGGGGTTTGAGCATCTACTTCC